TATTTGTTCCAATGTGCAATAAATTCTAACCACTTCTATGCAAGATTTGGCTAAACTTAATCATTGTTCTTAGATCTTGAGATGGGCAACAGCTATTTGATCCTGCTAGGAACACCAAGCGCCATGCTAGTAGTGTTAAGGTATTAGATCTGACACTCCTCCCCCAGCTCCTGACCCAGCAGGCTGTGCCTCAGTTTCTCACACCTTCCAACAGCCTCGCAGGGAAGGGAGCCACCTCAACTCCACTTGCTCTGAACTTTCACTCCGATTAGACCTCTCCCACCAACGCCCTCTATCTCTCCACCCCGCCACCCCCCCTCCGCCACCCCCACCCCCCACCCCGACCCCTCCACCATCACCCCCCCCCCCCGCTCGCCTCGCTCCCCTCTCTCCATCCTGCTCCACAGTCCTTCCCTGTGAACCTGCCCCATCACCAGCAGTTCACACCCGCGGTTACCAGGCATCGAACCTTAAAGAGTCAGCTATGGTAGTTTTTGGTTGGTTTGGTTTGGTTTTGCGTCCTCATTGCGTGAGCAAATGGCAGCGCTTTGCCAAGCACTCATGAAGCTCATCAAAGAGCAACAGCAGCCAGTACCACTGCACATATATATATAGATAGATCTATAAATATAATATAAATATTTATTTTTTTGTAGCCGGGTCCTTGGTGCAGTATTTATATTCCACGATCCTCCTTTAAAAATAATAATAATAATAATAAAAGGACAAAAAAAAAGCAAAAAGTCACGTGACGCTGTTCATTTAAAAAAAAAACGCAGAGCCAAAGCCCCCTGAGCAGTAGTCGCCATGACTACTGGGTGTGTGAGAACACTCCCCTCTTCCTTAACTTCCCTGTGGCTTAGGGCGAGAGGCTGGGAGTCACAGGGCCGGAGAGTGGCAGCAGAACCTTCCTAAGTCCGAGTGGGCTGCTCTCGCCATCTGGAAATGAGCCGCTTGGGCGTCTGAAGCTTCGGGCAGAGAGACAAGCGCCCCGCCCTGTCAGGGCCCCCAGAGCTACACTGAGCGCCCAAAGGGCTTCTCTCGTTTTATCACCACAACCGATGTAAGCTGTAAAAGACCAGTAGTGTGTTAGCGAGCGCATGGAGCCCGATGCTGCCCTAAACAACACATGACCTTTAGAAAAGTAAATCACTATTAGCCAAAAGGAAGCAAAAATAAAAGCGCCCCCCCCTTTTTTTTTTAAACCACACAAGGGAAGCCTATCTTGCCGGTGTCTGTGTTTGACTTTCCAGTTCTTGAGTTCTGGAAGGGATCTGGGAACTGGGACCCTGGAGCTTTCAGGAAGGAGAAGGAAACCAGAGCCTCCCAATTCTAAGTTAGTACTGCAGAGAAAAGCCAGGTCCTGACCCCCCAGGTCCCTGCTTGCTGATTGCATGTGGCTGGCCCCCTTTAGGCTGGGCCCCTCCCTCACCAGTCCCACCCAGCAGGGCCCCCCCCCCCCAGAGATGACTTCAACCAACCCAGCTGGTCTGGCCTTACTTCTGCCTTGTTCACGGATATGATTTAAGAAAGAGAAAAAAAAAATTTCCCCCATCCCCCAAGGCTGGTGCAAGCACGCTGCCCAGCTTCTGCTCCACTAGCTCGCGGTCGCGCTGGGCCCCGCCTTCCATCCACTCCCATTATCAGACCGGCAGACTGAGGCTGTCCCCTTCACATTTGTGCAGGGGAGGGGGCACCCCTCGGGGACATCCCTCTCCAGGCCGTGTCTCCTGGTCTTAGGAACACTCAGGAGGATCTTGAAGTGCCCGCTCTAGTAGCTGAACTGGAGAGAGTCGGCTGGTAGGTCAGCCCCTGTCCTTGTCCCTCAGCCCCAGCCTCCAAGCCTTCTGTGGAGGTGAAATTGCCATGGGTCAGGACTTGGTGACCTGAGTCCTGGGCATCTTCTGTAACGATGCCTCTTTCTTTTCTCAGATGTTGCCCAAAGTTTTGCAAAAAGCTTCGTTCATTTTCAGGTACTCCCCCACCCCCTAAAGAATTAGCTGCCGTCAGTCAGCCAGGGGGTCAGGAGAAGAGGAAGTCTGGGTTCAGAGGTCAAGACTTGCACCCCGGCCTGTGCTTCTTGCCTCTTCTAGAGACTGCCAAGATTTCCTCCATTCAAACACTCCTGAGACACCCCTGCCCCTGACCCCACTGCTGTTTGCTGTACATAGAGGCTAAGTGGGGTGAAGTGGGCAGGCGTGCACATGTATGTGTGTGTGTGTGTGAAGAATGTACATAGGTTAAGGGGAGCGTGGCCCAGTGGTGACAGAAGCGGGACAGAACTGTGTTCCATCCCCTAGCTTGACCACTGGCTCGCTGTGTGGCCTTGGGCAAGTCACTTAACCTCTCTGTGCCTCAGTTTCCCCATCTGTAAAATGGGGATAATAATACTGACCTACCTCACAGGGGTGTTGTGAGGCTTTAACTAGATGTTTTGTAAAGCGTTCTGAGATACAGAGACAAAGGCGCCAGGGAAGGGCAAAGTATTCTTTGGACTTGAGGAAGAGGAACTAGTACCATAAACGCTGCTATTCTGAGAGCCATTTTAAACTGCACTGCTCCACCCCCCGCTTCTCATCACCAGGACAGCAGGTCGAGAAATGTCTTTCCTTGCACTTGCTTCTGGGGTTTGTGATTCTTCTGATTTCCCCTTGCTGTACCTCCTTCCTCACCCCTCCACTCGTTCCCCCGTTCTGTTTATGCGGAAATGGCAGAAACGCTTGAGAAATGAGAATGTATAAGTGGATTGGAAGTTTATAGTCTGGATTTTCAATTTTACTTTGTACTGTACATCTTTTTACTTTAGAATTTGCAATAAAGGGTTACGTCAATCTTGTTTTCAACTCTCCTCTTGGACTGGACTGTCATTCTGTCATGGCTCACCCCAGGCCCCTAACCCTAGGATTCCCTGGCAATGGGCTCTCCAGGGCTTGGTTTCTGGATGGGGCTGGCTCCTTCCTCAGAGGTGGGTGGGAAAGTGGCAAGGAAGCCTTCCCTGAGGGACTGAGTGGCTGTACACAGTGTCTGGGCTCCGTGTCTGGACTGCACACACACACACACACACACACACACACACACACACACACAC